CCCACTCACACGAACCCACTTCCTGCCAGTGGAAGTTTAAAACCACAGACTGTGGACGTAATCATCTTGATGTCATCCATCGGTTTGTGGACATTTTGGAAGCCTCAAGTTCGCCATGTTGGTGTTTTTGCACTGAGGAGGAGTGACGTAGAGACGCCGTATACGTCTCTGGTAGAGACCTGTCAATCACCGTGTAGCCCCGCCCTAAAGCATCCCCTGCTTTATGGTCTGTTTGACTCTAAATGGACCATAATGTACTAAATGAACATCATGCTGTATTGAAGAAGACTTGAAGCTAGAGATTGAGACCATAAACGCATGTTTACTGAGGAGAAGTAGAGTGAACACTCGCTCCGTGAAGAGGACCTGTTCCTGTAGATCTGAGGGACTCGATTCTTAGTTTCAGGTGATTCGACGCCTGTTCTAAGAACAGTTATTAATATTATATTCTGCCAAGAAATGCCCCTAACAGCGTCACACTGCTCCTTTAAAGCCGTTTCACACTCTACAGTTCAGAACTATGTGAATGGGTCACTTTGCTCGGAGTGTGCCGGTTGGTGAGGCCAAAGTCACCAATTAACACGGAAACAAGTTACTCTTTAACACCGGTTGACTTTAAAGTCTGTCTTGTGGGCAACGACAGACTCGTCATAGATTTTTAAACGCTGCTGGACCCTCGATCTGGTTGTCAAAACACCATTTAAACCCAAATGACTCAACAGCTGAATGAGTTCGAAAAGAGAAAAACTAAACCACGACTTAATTATGTGAAAGAACACAAGAGAAATGTATTAGAACTAAACCACCACCACCACTAAACTAAACCAAACTAAACTATCTGGATGATTTTTTTAAGCAAAATTACAAAAATATTCTCAAACTCAAAGCCTCTTAATTCAGATGATTTGCTGCTTTACCTGGTCATGTGATAATCAATCAATCGAATCTCTTTAATCTCTCCGACAGGCAGTTTGACGGCATCGCCATGAGCTACAGGAAGTAGCAAAGACTGTATATAAGAAGTGGGCGTGGTCCCGGATAGCTTATCCATTGGTTAGTGGACTGACGTTTTGAAGCCTCGAGTTCGGCATAGTGGCCGTCGCCATCTTGTATTTTTTTGGAACCAGAAGCGATACAAGAAGGCGGAGCCAAGTACGACAGATTGTGGAATCGTTTTTCGGTGACCAAAAATGTTCCAATGAACTTTCACGGAATGAAAACAGCGTGAAAGTTAAAGTTGTAAGACAAAAAAAACACGGACAACTCCCAGACCGGACAACGCTGTGGTGTCGACCTGTCATTCACCAGCAGAAGCAATCTGTAGATTAACGCATGATGGAATTGATCGTCAGCTGCAACTCTACATAACTTTATTTTAAACATATAGTTTGTAAAAATACCAAACACGCCAGGAGGAATTTTGAATTAAGGTGTACAAAATAACACACAAGACATCTCCAACAGTGTACCACTGTGTTGAATATGTCTACATGCAACTTTAGGAAGAGTTTATAGCTTTGAAAACATTAAAACAAACAAACACACCTTAATGTGGACCACACACACACACACACACACACACACACACACACACACACACACACTTTAAACCCACCCCTTCAAACTTGTAATCAGTCCCACACACACTGAGCAGACCCAGCAGACCCTACTGGTCCAGTCCCAGTAAGGAGTGCTGGTGCTGCTGGTTTTCTTACCTGTTCAGGTGAGCGGAGGGTCGACCGTGTGTCTCTGAGTTTCCTGCAGTTTCAGCTTCAGGGTGGAGGCTCCAAACCTGCTGCTGTGTTACTTCACACTCCTCCCATCGTCTTCTTCTTCTTGTTTGAGGTTTATTGGCGGTTGACAAACAATGAACTGGTGCATTACTGCCACCAACTGGTCTGGAGGGTGGATCAGGATGTCTAAAAACTATCTTAAACTTTAAACTATATATATATATATACATATATATGTATATATATATGTATATATATATATATATATATATATATGTATATATATATATATATATGTATATATATATATATATATGTATATATATGAGAGCGAGAGCACCTGACTCGGTGTTCGGACGAACGTGCGCTCCGGGTCCAAACTGAAGAATATTTAAGTCGTGGTAACAAGTTTGACAACTGCAGTCGCAAATAATCGTATTTCAAAAGAGGCCATTATTTACAGAGAGACAGAGACAGAGAGAGAGAGGACGGCAGGACGCTGCAGGAACTCAGCAGCGTCCCCCAAACATTTTGAGGAAAGTGACGCAAACTCAACAGAGACAGCCCAAACCAAGCAGGGAGAGAAAGAGGTAAGAAAGAGAGAAGGCAAGTCACTGCTCTGTTCATTCTGGAGGCAAAGCTGAGCTTATCGTACCCCAAATGCTCACCGACAGTCAGCAAACACCTCCTCCATTGTCACGCTGTTATTCGGGGGACGATCCTCACTCCCTGCCGGAGAGACGGAGGTGGCGTTTCGGAGGACGCCATTCCTCCCGAACGCACCTCGATAGAGCGCCAATCACTCAACACACCAAGCAGTAAAAGACAAGAAACTCACTTGACCATCCGCCTCAACAGAGGAAGAAACATAGCTAAAAGATCAGAAATCATTCAAATCTAGCGCCACTCGCACTTCCACCGTCTCGTCTCCACTCACCGGAAACGGAGAGAGAGAGACGGTGGCGTAGAGAGAGTGAGAGAGAGACGGTGGCCTAGAGAGAGAGAGAGAGAGAGACGGTGGCCTAGAGAGAGAGAGAGAGAGATAGACGGTGGCCTAGAGAGAGAGAGAGAGAGAGAGACGGTGGCCTAGAGAGAGAGCGAGAGAGAGACGGTGGCCTAGAGAGAGAGAGAGACGGTGGCCTAGAGAGAGAGAGAGATGGTGGCCTAGAGAGAGAGCGAGAGACGGTGGTCTAGAGAGAGAGAGAGAGACAGTGGCCTACAGCAAAAAAAATAAAGATTAGAAGAGAGAGAGAGAGAAGAGTAGCTGCACCAGAAATGAGCTTCTAAACCCATCTAAGACTTGAACCTGAAAAAGTGAGACAAACTGCATAGATATCTATATGTCAGTTGACAACTAGCTGGCAACTAACTGCAGGCTAACTGAGAAGTAAATAACTGGTAAACTGGTCACCATGGAAACTGGTCAGCAGGCAGCTCCCAGCACACCCATGAGAGCAGAGAGCGGAGAAATAGAGTACCCTGCTACATGTAAAAGTGTAACAGCCAGAGAGAAACAAAAGGAGAAGATATTACGTGAAAACCCAGAGGTCCTCTTCACTGACTATACCCAACAAAAAGAAGGAAGGAAGAAGAACAACCTCCTCTTCTTCACTGATTCGATTTATATCTGGAAAGATATTCTGTGCAGCAATTATGCATTCGTATCCAGTGAGGGTATTGGCTCAGGAGGCAGATTAAAGATCTGTAAAGATGAACATCTTGACAAGGATGACCCTCTGCTTACCATCACATACTACACCAAAGGAAAGGTCATGGTCCAAGGGAATGAAACCAACCTGGAGTCCTTTGAAGAGGTATTCCCACTGTTGAAAGCTGAGATGGATGCCAAGAGGGTCAGTGTCCGCTCTGACAGTGAAGATGATGAGAACCCAGTAGAGAACCTCACCACCCTGTCCATCTCTGCCCCTCCCACACCTGCCAGCTCCACCAACAAGCTGAAAGAGAATATGGCCCTGCTGGAGCTGGACTTTGCTGAATTCAAAGAGCTGACCCAGGCCAGACTGTCTGACCTCCCAGACAACACTCTGCAACAGCTTAAAGAGGAGCTCCAGCAGCTCAAAGAGGAGCTCCAGCAGCTCAGGAGAGACAACCAGGCCTTGGCATCTGACCTCAGAGGAAGTCTAGAGACACTCAAACAGGACAACAGTCTGCTCCGTACTCAATTCGCCAAAGTGAAGGAGGATGCTGAGAATAGAGAAAGGAGCTTCACCAGACAAGTCCAACACCTGACGGACCAACTCTCATCCGTCCCAACAAAGACAAATACAGAGACACAAACTCTCCCTGCCAGTGTCCCAAACCCCTGCCTTGTCCCTGTCCCACCCCCTCTGTTCTACACTCAACCCAACAACACCCTGGCACCTCCTGATACATCCACACAGCCAGCTACCAACAGCCAGCTCTGCCCCGGATCAGCTTTCCTCCACTCAGCCTGAAGAGCAAGCCCCACAAGTGGTCCTGTTGACTGACTCTAATGGGAAATTCCTGGACACAAACAAGCTTTTTCCTGGTAAAAAAGTGCTTTCTAAACGCTGCAGCACCACAGGCCAGGCAATGAAGCTGTTGAAAAAGGAGACTTTCAGGAGCCCTCAATACATGGTGATCCACAGGAACAAATGACCTGCACAGCCTCCGTAAGAACACTGCTAAAGCAGTGAGGAAGATGGCAGAGCAGGCCAGTAAGGAATTCCCTGACACCCGCATTGTGATCTCCACCTTGCTGCCTAGGACAGACACCCCTCCCCATGTCATAAATATGGAGATCAGAAGAGGATGTGCCCCCTTACCCAATGTCCACCTGGCCTTCCACCCAACCGTTGGCACCTGGGACCTCTATGATGGACTCCATCTACACAAAGAAAGAATGGGGATATTTGCAAAGACCCTTAAAGACACGGCTCTGGGACACAATCCTTCCACCCCCTCCGTTACTAGGAGCTTTAGAGACCATCCCAGACCTCCCAGACCGCCCAGATCTCCCAGAACTCCACCCCCCCACCACCACCCCAGTATGAGGCAGAACCAGAGGAGGCTACCTTCCCCCTCCTCGGCCCCTGCCCTCCAACCCCTTTTACAATATCAGCAGCAGAGATATGCAGCAGCAGCACCTGCCCCTTATCCCCCTCCCCACCCACAACAGCGGAGCTATGCTGCAGTCGTAGCCCCGCCTACTGCCACAGTCCCTCCCCCTGCTACCTCTGAGCTGGGAGACATCAGAGAGATGCTGCGCACCCTGTGCACCCGTCTTCTGCTCAGCTAAGATGAACATACTGAGAACACCTTCCCACTTGAATAACAGAACAACATGGAAATATATTGTTAATCAATAGTGGTAACAACAGCAATAGTAGTAGTCAGTGTAAGAGCCATTTTGTTGTTTTTGTTTTTGTACAACCTCCCACCACATGGGGGCGTAGTGCCGGTGTGATCCTGGCCACAGGTAATATAATCAGTGGGTTCATTGGGCACAGGTTGTTGCTAATAGGTGGAAGCAAACAGTTTTTGAGCGTGAAGTTTTAGCAAATGCAAATGTTATGATTTATTGGCATTGAGGAGAAAATTGCACTGAAGAGAAAGTGGTGTACTCTGATTATGTGAGGAATAAAATGCCTATATTTGAAACTAGACTTTGTTATTTATGGCACGCATCAGAACAAGCATTACAGCAACCGTAGTGACTTTTTTATTGGGAAGCAACGGTCAATACAGTCAGTATAGTGGTAATATTAGTGAAAATAGTACATGCCCCCATGAAATTTATGTCAAAATTATTATTATTATCAGTATTGTACATGTATAGATCGTGGTAGGTGTTCTTTATATTTGTCTCACTATACAGGTTCATTTTGATTGTTTTTTCTAAATGCGCTCATTTCATATAAGCTGCTGGAATATTCAAGGTCTCCACTCCTCAACCTTTGAACTGAAAATTGAAGACCCTGAATTCATGAAATCTATCAAAGACGTTGATATAATTGTGTTAACAGAAACATGGTGTCAAAATGATTTACTCACTCACTGTCCTCCAGGATATAATGAAGTCATGGTGCCGTCTATCAAATTTAAAAACATACGCAAGGGCAGAACATCGGGGGGGATCTTGGTGTGGTATAAAGGAGACCTTTGCCATAAGATCTCACCAGTAAAACAGGGTAAATCACACATCTGGTTAAGGTTAGACCAAACTCTGGGCATAACTGATAGGGATCTATATCTCTGTGCTATCTATATACCCCCAGTGGATTCTCCTTATTATGAAGAAGACATTTTTGAAACTCTTCATTGAGAAATCGCCTATTTCCAGGCCCAGGGAAACGTGCTTCTAACTGGAGATCTAAATGGACGAACAGGAATTGAACCTGATGTCATCGACCCACAGGGCAACAACCATGTCTTTGGTCAAACTCCCTTATTTACCACACCAACCATCACCCACCGGAACAACCTGGACTCTGGAATAAATAAAAGTGGCAAGGAGATCGTGCATCTCTGCCGGGCCTTAGGCCTGTACATAGTTAACGGTAGGTTCAGAGGGGACTCTTTAGGTAGGTTCACATACTCCTCAGCTCTTAGATCTAGTGTAGTAGACTATGCAATCACTGACATGGACCCCTCCACTATCAGTGCATTCACTGTCAGACAACAATCACCCCTCTCAGACCACAACCAAATAAATCTGTTCTTTAAACTCTCAGGTCAAATGAATGACATAAAAAAAGAACCCAGTAAGCTGTTTAAATTAAATGCTACTTACCGATGGGCCCGACAGTGGAGACAAATTCATCATGGCCTTGAACTCACCTGATCTGATAGATGACATATCAATATATGACCAAAATCAATATATCCACACCAGAGACGGTGTAAACAAGGCCATTGATGATATCAATATGATATTTCACAAGGCAGCTATTAAAGCTGACCTTATAAAACAAGCACGGAAGCCTGTAAAAAGGCAAAACACGGAAAAATGGTTTGATCAAGAATGCAAGAGCATCAGAAAAGACCTGAGAAAAATAGCAAATGAAAAACATCGCCAACCAAACAACCCAGCCTTACGCATCAGGTACAATGACATTTTAAACACGTATAAATGTACAATTAGGAACAAAAAACAAAATTATACCCACATGAAACTTGAAGATATTGAGAACGCCATTGATCAAAATCAATTCTGGGATATGTTGAACAACTTCAACACAAAGCAACCACAGGCATTACCCATCCAACATGGTGACATCTGGAGAGCACATTTTGAACATTTGTACAAAGATATACCAATAAATCAAACTAACTCAGACCAATATATTACAAAAGAAAAACTCCAAACATTAGAAGAAATAATTAAAGACAACCAGAACCCCCTTGATTTCCCAATGACTTGGGAAGAACTGAGCACACAGACAAAGTGTCTCCGGCCAAGGAAAGCTTGTGGTCCAGACAGCATCAAAAATGAGATGCTCAAATGCGGCACCCCAGAGATGCAGGGTGCAGTGTTGAAGTTGTTCAACATCATATTACAATCAGGGTGTTTTCCTGACTCCTGGAGCAAAGGGCTCATTTCACCCATTCATAAGAGTGGTGACAAGTCAGACCCTAGTAACTACCGGGGCATCTGTGTCAGCAGCTGTCTCGGTAAATTATTCTGTAGTATTCTCAATAAAAGAATACTACATTTCCTTGACGAACACTCCATCTTGAGTAAAAATCAAATTGGCTTCCTCCCAAAACACCGGACCACCGACCATGTATATACCCTTCATACTTTAATTAACAAACATGTCCACCAAACAAAAAATGGTAAAATATTTGCTTGTTTTATTGATTTCAAGAAAGCCTTGGATTCTATTTGGCATGAAGGGCTCTACTACAGACTCCTACAGTGTGGGATAGGGGGCAACATGTATGATCTGGATAAATCAACGTATTTGGAAAATA